ACTTTGAAGGAAGTTCATTTAGGTGTATGAATACATGAGGAAATATATGTATACAAATAAATGTGCACAAATGTATATACATGCACTAGAATATACTCGTGTTCATATGTAAAGGTAAGAGCATACATAAGTGAGGGGTACCCATGAACACATAACATGGGAATTTACATTGGGGTAAGAAGTTATACATACGTGGGTATGTATACTTTCGAATTTACATACGTGAAGTCAGCCACATACGTACATATGTGGCTGACAATAAAAACAAGCCAGGATATGGGAGTAGACAGAAACACAAAACAAACTTAAAAAAGGTTCAGATGAATGCCACCAGGCTAGTCCCCGAGCTGAGAGGAACGAGCTATGAGGAAAGATTATTGGCACTAAACCTCACGACACTGGAAGACAGAAGAGTTAGGGGAGACATGATCACTACCTATAAAATTCTTAGAAGCATTAACAGGGTAGATAAACTGTTTAACACGGGTGGTACGCGAACAAGGGGACACAGGTGGAAACTGAGTGCCTAAATGAGCTACAGAGACGAGACGATAGAAAGAACTTTTTTCAGTGTCAGAGTAGTTAACAGGTGGAATGCATTAGGCAGTGATGTGGTGGAGGCTGACTCCATACACAGTTTCAAATGTAGATATGATAGAGCCCAGTAGGCTCAGGAATCTGTACACCAGTTGATTGACAGTTGAGAGGCGGGACCAAAGAGCCAGAGCTCAACCCTCGCAAGCACAACTAGGTGAGTACACATATCAGCATATGCGAGTATATATACATCAGGACATAAGAGTATACATTCATCCGGACATAAGAGTATACATACATCTGATTATGTGGACATTCATACGTCATAATATGCGAGTAGATATACAACAGGACATCCCAGTATAAATGCACCAGGATATAAGATCATACATACATCAGGATATACGTGTACTCAAACGTCAGAAAATAAGAGCACATATACGTCAGGATATAAGGCTATACATTCATACATACTTCAGAATGTGTGTATGCATACGCGATAATATGGATTCTGAAGTGCGAGTATTCATGGGTGAGGATATGGGAGCATACATGGCTGAGGATATGTGATTCATGGGTGAGAATACGGTGGTATACATGGGTGAGGATACGGTGGTATACATGGGTGAGGATACGGTGGTATACATGGATGAGGATACGGTGGTATACATGGGTGAGGATACGGTGGTATACATGGGTGAGGATACGGTGGTATACATGGGTGAGGATACGGTGGTATACATGGGTGAGGATACGGTGGTATACATGGGTGAGGATACGGTGGTATGCATGGGTGAGGATACGGTGGTATACATGGGTGAGGATACGGTGGTATATATGGGTGAGGATACGGTGGTATACATGGGTGAGGATACGGTGGTATACATGGGTGAGGATACGGTGGTATACATGGGTGAGGATACGGTGGTATACATGGGTGAGGATACGGTGGTATATATGGGTGAGGATACGGTGGTATACATGGGTGAGGATACGGTGGTATACATGGGTGAGGATACGGTGGTATACATGGGTGAGGATACGGTGGTATACATGGGTGAGGATACGGTGGTATACATGGGTGAGGATACGGTGGTATATATGGGTGAGGATACGGTGGTAAACATGGGTGAGGATACGGTGGTATACATGGGTGAGGATACGGTGGTATACATGGGTGAGGATACGGTGGTATACATGGGTGAGGATACGGTGGTATACATGGGTGAGGATACGGTGGTATACATGGGTGAGGATACGGTGGTATACATGGGTGAGGATACGGTGGTATACATGGGTGAGGATACGGTGGTATACATGGGTGAGGATACGGTGGTATACATGGGTGAGGATACGGTGGTATACATGGGTGAGGATACGGTGGTATACATGGGTGAGGATACGGTGGTATACATGGGTGAGGATACGGTGGTATACATGGGTGAGGATACGGTGGTATATATGGGTGAGGATACGGTGGTATACATGGGTGAGGATACGGTGGTATACATGGGTGAGGATACGGTGGTATACATGGGTGAGGATACGGTGGTATATATGGGTGAGGATACGGTGGTAAACATGGGTGAGGATACGGTGGTATACATGGGTGAGGATACGGTGGTATACATGGGTGAGGATACGGTGGTATACATGGGTGAGGATACGGTGGTATACATGGGTGAGGATACGGTGGTATACATGGGTGAGGATACGGTGGTATACATGGGTGAGGATACGGTGGTATACATGGGTGAGGATACGGTGGTATACATGGGTGAGGATACGGTGGTATACATGGGTGAGGATACGGTGGTATACATGGGTGAGGATACGGTGGTATACATGGGTGAGGATACGGTGGTATACATGGGTGAGGATACGGTGGTATACATGGGTGAGGATACGGTGGTATATATGGGTGAGGATACGGTGGTATACATGGGTGAGGATACGGTGGTATATATGGGTGAGGATACGGTGGTATACATGGGTGAGGATACGGTGGTATATATGGGTGAGGATACGGTGGTATATATGGGTGAGGATACGGTGGTATACATGGGTGAGGATACGGTGGTATACATGGGTGAGGGCTCATACATAGGTGGGGAGAGCCATGTATGGGGAAAACATCAAGTGGCTGAATAGTTAATTTTTATTCCAGTCGACGGCGTCATTACCGGGGTGCAATATGGCGCCCCCCAGTTACTGACAAGGGGGAGGGGGGGGCGACCCCCACCATTGACAGGTGGCATGGAGTTCTAGTCAAACCTCATTATTAGTATTAGTATTATTATTATTATAATTATTATTATTATTATTTTCTACCACAGACGTGGCCACACATTTACAAAGCTAACCAGCATATATATATATATATATATATATATATATATATATATATATATATATATATATATATATATATATATATATATATATATATATATATTCACATATACATTTGTCTCTCCTAGATTGACAGGGTAACATAGCTGCTTAGGAAACAAGTGTATTATTAAGCACTTATACAACCACTGAAAGTGATTAAGATGCTTTCGCAAGCTCAGGTAATAGTTACATCACATAGAATGTATAACTGATGCATTACATAGTCAATCTTGGGTACAAGTCCAATACATCAGGTGTTCCAGTAATCAGATTACACTTACAGAGTTCAGCATACCTCAACCCAGGGAGGGATGGAGGACGAATATCAGTCAATATGGTACATTCTACAATATAATGTTCAAGGGAGTGCACGTTTTCTCTTTCACAAATGGGCTGGACGGTAGAGCGACGGTCTCGCTTCATGCAGGTCGATGTTCAATCCCCCGACCGTCAAAGTGGTTGGGCACCATTTCTTCCCCCCGTTCCATCTCTAATTCTTATCCTGACCCCTTCCAAGTGCTATACAATCGTAATGGCTTGGCGTTTTCCAATAATAGTTTTGTTTTGTTGTCTTTCACAAAGTTGACACATGGGCGTATTCGACACTTTCACAAAGTTGACACATGGTGTATTCGACATTGGAGTTTTGAGAGAGGTGCCAGATACGTCTATCTCCCAGGCGTATTCTGGCCACTATAACATCACAGTGCCAGAGTCTTGTTCTGTTAGTTCCATATATAAATGTCTCCTCGCGGTATTTATCATAATGTTCAATGCTCAGTAAGATTTTCATCACATATTTGTTTAAGACTTAAACAAGTAGAGGTGGTGGTAGTGGTAGTTGTGGTAGTGACAAAGGGTGGTAATGGTGGTAGTGACGACCAAGGGAGGTAGCAGTGGGAGGTGGAGACGGTCGGCGTGGAGCTCCTCACCTTGGTTGGATATTGATCTCTTAATTACCTTGGCGAGCAATGGTACCTCGTGTTGCTCTTGCTGTTACCTGTGTCTACCTGCCTCTACGGGGGTCCACTACCACCTCACAGGATGGGAATGCTGGTATAATATATGCACGAAACTAATCTTAAATTCTCCTCCACTTCCTCACTTTTCGTCTCCTCCTCCTCCTCCTCCTCCTCCTCCTCGTCCTCCTCCTCGTCCTCCCATGTTTCCTATACTCCTGAAAAAACAAACAATATAGCCTGGTGCGACGAGGCAGGCAGCTGACCAGCATTAACAGTGTGTGTTCTTAAATGGGTGTGTCGCTCCCAGCTCAGTGGTCAAGTAACAGCAGTAAACAGAGATACTTCCCTACCCATCGCTTGAGGGGTCTCTCTCTCTACTTCCTCCCTCCTCCCGTACGTACAGGCATCGTTACTGTTGTAAATTATTTGTCTTCCTTACGTGTGTGGTCCCTTTCCCTTCGTTAGCAGTCGTTCCTCGGCCACAAGAGGTGCCGCAGGAGCCCTCGTTGACGACACCGTCGTGTTGAACGCCTTACCATTGACACCGCCGCAGTTCTAGGGTTGTCTGGCCGCTTGACGGGCGGCTCCAGCGTGTGGGTGTTTGTCCTCAGCTAACACTGCTGTATATGTAGCCTCTGCTGCTGCTGCTGCTGCTGCTGTGGCCTTTGGCTCCTTCTTGCATTTGTCGGGGGCGAGAACGATGGACGGCTCCTACACCGTGCCAGTATTTGTCCTCCGTTAATGCAGTATTCCTTTTAAACTCGTTCATGTATCAGCACTTGCAGCGCCACACTGCCCATGTTGCAGATGCCTCAGCCAGCCTCTTGTGGCGTTGACTCCAGAGTCTCTTCTACTGAGGAGCTCCACCGTGGTCATAAACATGGGGAACACCTGTACCTATATAAACATGGGGAACACCTGTACCTATATAAACATGGGGAACACCTGTACCTACACAAACATGGGGAACAGCTGTTCCCACATAAACATGGGGAACAGGTGTTCCTACACAAACAAATATAAAACAGCTGAATGACACAGCTGCTTGTAATGATCCAAGTGTAATCGTCACTTTCCTAATGTTGTGTGACGTGTTTGTTCCGGCAGTCTCTCGCCTGATGGGGGGCTCGAACGTGAACATGAACATGGGGAACATGACGTCACTCTCCACCTGCAGTATGGGGGACAACAAGGCCATGCAGTTCCCACTCTCTCAGCGGAGGAAGAGGCGGATACTCTTCACGCAAGCTCAGGTGAGTGGTTACCTGGATATTAATTCTAGTGCAGGGTAGGGGAGGTAATGGGTAGGGAAGGTGAAGGGTCGGGATGGAGGTGAAGGGTAGGGAAGGTGGTGAAGGTAGAGAAGGGTAGGGATGGACGTGAAGGGTAGCGGTTATGGATACAGTAACGAGAACGGTCGTGACATGTAAAGATGATTCAATTGTTGAAGGCTGTGTGTGTGTGTGTGTGTGTGTGTGTGTGTGTGTGTGTGTGTGTGTGTGTGTGTGTGTGTGTGTGTGTCAATTCCCCTGAGTATTTTATACGTTCCTATCATATTCCCCCCCCCCCCCATACTTTTTTCTAGTGTCGTAAGGTTTAGTTTCTTCAGGCGCTCTTCATATCTCATCCCTAGTAACTCTGGGACAAGCCTCGTCGCAAACTTCTGAACCTTTTCCAGTTTCCTTATATGTTTATTCAGGTGGGGCCTCCATGATGGCGCGGCATACTCTAAGACTGGTCTCACGTAGGCAGTGTAAAGCACCCTAAAAGCCTCCTCACTTAGGTTTCTGAATGATGTTCTAACTTTTGAAAGTGTAGAGTACACTGCTGTCGTTATCCTATTTATAATGTGCCTCGGGAGTTAGATTAGGTGTTACGTCCACTCCGAGGTCTCTCTCTTGAATCGTCACAGGTAGGCAGTTCCCCTTCATTGTGTACTGTCCCTTTGGTCTCCTATCATCTGATCCCATTTCCATAAATTTACATTTACTCGTGTAGCCATTTCTCTGACCATCTCTGCAATCTGTCCAGGTCCTCTTGGAGGATCCAACAATCCTCATCAGTCACAACTCTTCTCATCAACTTTGCGTCATCCGCGAACATCGACATGTAGGACTCTACGCCTGTAAACATGTCGTTAACATATTTACTAGAAATAGAATTGGTCCCAGCACCGATCCTTGAGGTACTCCACTTGTTACTGTTCGCCAGTCCGACTTCTCGCCCCTTTCCGTATGTGTGTGTGTGTGTGTGTGTGTGTGTGTGTGTGTGTGTGTGTGTGTGTGTGTGTGTGTGTGTGTGTGTGTGTGTGTGTGTGTGTGTGTGTGTGAACTAATAATAATAATAATAATAATAATAATAATAATAATTGTTACATACTTACGTTGTCATTAATAAAAATAAGAATAATACATACAGTTGTCTAACACGTGACACTACCACATGTGTCACTTGACACATAACGTATAACCACTTCCTCTCACACATACATCTTCCTCACCTCCCCCACCCTCGCCTCATTGTACAGGTGTACGCCCTTATCTCCCTCCTCTATACACACCCACCCTCACATATCTAACCTTTTCCTACTCAGGTGTGTGACCTGACCATCCCCTCTACAGGTGCCTGCCCCGACCTCCTCCCCCCTCCCCCGCTCTACAGGTGACCGCCCTGATCACTCTGGGCTACAGGTGTCTCCACTGACATTTCTCATCTCGTGGCCTCCACAGGTGTACGAGCTGGAGAGACGCTTCAAGCAGCAGAAGTACCTCAGTGCGCCCGAGAGAGAACACCTTGCATCCCTCATCAACCTCACTCCGCAGCAGGTAAGGCCTGGCCTCACGGCTCACTCATACTTAGCTTGGTTGGGCCATGTTGGGTTAGATTTCCTTTGGTTAATTTAGACTGGGAACCAAGTTAAGAAGCTGTATATATAAGTGCCTGGGCGACGCTCAATTTTACAACGGGAGAAAGAGCATTATCCACACCAGGCAGGAGGCGCTCTCAGCCTCCACACCAGGCAGGAGGCGCTCTCAGCCTCCACACCAGGCAGGAGGCGCTCACAGCCTCCACACCAGGCAGGAGGCGCTCACAGCCTCCACACCAGGCAGGAGGCGCTCACAGCCTCCACACCAGGCAGGAGGCGCTCTCAGCCTCCACACCAGGCAGGAGGCGCTCTCAGCCTCCACACCAGGCAGGAGGCGCTCACAGCCTCCACACCAGGCAGGAGGCGCTCTCAGCCTCCACACCAGGCAGGAGGCGCTCTCAGCCTCCACACCAGGCAGGAGGCGCTCTCAGCCTCCACACCAGGCAGGAGGCGCCCCTCCCCCTTCACCTACTGGTTTCACACGATAGATAGAAAATGATTAACACTATAAGCGTCGACTGTTACCCCCCCCCCCATTGATCTTCTTATCTGATCGTCCACAGAGGGGGTGAGGGACCATGAGGGGGGGGGGGACCATGAGGGGGGGTGGGGGACCATGAGGGGGGGTGGGGGACCATGAGGGGAGGTGGGGGACCATGAGGGGGGGGAGGCAGGTGAGGGGAAGGTGGGGGGCTAGATTGCGATTACAGGATATAAATATTGCGGGTAAAGCAGGATGAG